TAGTAAAGAAAGACAAAAAGAGGAAGGAGCAAAACAATCATTGTCGCAAATTGCCATTATTTTGCCCCCTCCCATCCCCTCCCTCCCCTCTCCCCCCACCCCCCGAACGTGAAACATGGCGCGCCGATCCCGTAGATTTTCAAAAAAACACTCCTCCCCTCCACCCGCCCCCCCAAATAAATAAATAAAATAAATAAATTAAATTAAAACAAAATAAAAAAATAAAAAAACTATTCATACACAGCCTCGCAAAGTATGAAAAATACACCCCATATTTCCAAGAGAGAACGAGAACAGGACACCGCGGCAAAAAGCGACGGTCAGGTCAGTCAGTCACTATAATTTGACCTGTGGAAAATATCATATATCACAAAAGCAAGCTTGAGTTGGACGAGGAAATGTTGTCAGTAAAAAGTGCGTGTTGAAGAAGTATTAAGTGTCTCGAGCCACGGATAGGTCACCCTGTCTGTCTGTCTGTCTGTCTGCCTGTCCGTCTGTTAAAAAATCTATGGGTTTCTCTACTTTTATTGATATTTTTAAAGAATTTCATTTAAATTACTATTTAATTGTATATATGCATATACATGCACCACACACATGCACACACACACACACACACACACATATACATATATATATATATATATATATAAATATATATTATAATATATATATACACATATACTTATATATATATAATATATATATATATATATATTATATAATATATATAATATATATTATATATACACACACACACACACACACACACACACACACACACAATCACACACACACATATATATATATATATATATCATTCTCCCTCCTGAGAAATGCACACTTTAGTTAACGCTAAAAAACGGTAGCACTTTAATCCTATCAATAGAATGTCATTAAACATACAAGAATTTACCCATGAAAAATGCATAGATGTATAGAGAGAGAGAGAGAGAGAGAGAGAGAGAGAGAGAGAGAGAGAGAGAGAGAGAGAGAGAGAGAGAGGAGAGAGAGAGAGAGAGAGAGAGAGAGAGAGAGAGAGAGAGAGAGAGAGAATGAATGAATGAATCGCAGTCAGACGAACAGAATCAGAGACAAAGGCAACAGAATGATAAAAAAGCGAATAATAACAGCAGCGCAAAGAGGAGAGGCAGGCAGCCCCTAGACACAAGGTCTATCAGCCGAGGGAGAGCTCATCTGGCGAGCGACGCAGGGAGCTAGGGAGGGAGGATGGAGGAGGAGCTAGGGAGGGACAGAGGAAGGCGGAGAGAGAGAGAGGGAGAGAGGGGAGAGCACAGCGCGGGAGGAAGGGGAAGGAGGGAAGGAAGGAGAGAGAGGGAGAGAGGGAGGGAGAGGGAGAGTAGAGCGGGAGGAAGGGAAGGAGAGGAGAGAGAGAGAGGGGAGGGAGGGAGGGAGGGCCTCCTCCACCTCCACCACGAGCAGGAGCGGCCGCCACCTCGACCCAACAGCGGTGCGGCCAGTCAGTACACGCGGCGCTAGAGTGAGGCAAGGTACGCCTCCGCACGCCGCCGCCACCACAGCACAAGGTCTCGCCACACACACACGCACACACGAGCTCCGTTTCACATCCACGGGGGGGGGTTTCCTCCCACTCTTTACGCATTTATTCGCGCACGTAATACTCATTTCGAAGCGGCTTTGGAGATGGGAGGCGTGTCATGAGAATTTACCGCGTGCGGGTTGTTTTTTTTCGAATATATGTAGCTCTTTTTGCGAGCGAGGCGCCGATGTAAACAATGCGAGGGAGGCGCTTGCTGTGGAGGAATGCAGAGGCCGCGTGCATTCGCTGTTTTTGTCGTTGTTTTGGAGCTTTAAAGGCAGATGGACGCTTCCTTGACTGAATTCGTCCTCTTAAAAATAGAAAATAACTTAGCGCCTCCCTCGTGAATTTTGCCAATATTTTTTTCTTGTTATTTATGTCCCGCGTTCTTCACATACTCTCTTGGCTCCTGAGGCCTACTCGCCACACGGTATACGAACACCTTACAAACACCTATTAAAACAAACACAACACCTTCGAATATGTCTTTGTTGTTCTTGTGATATATATATTTTTTAAATGGTTGTGAATTGTGATTGTGACAATAAGTGAACAAGTGATGACGATGGATTTACTGTGAACTTGAACAGAGAGAGAAAAGAAAAAAAAATGAACATGGTTGTTTCCCTCTCAACAAAAACTATTAATTAAACGAGTGTTTTACAGGATTATAAATATCTATTTATTTTTCCTCTTGCAGATCGTGGTGGTAAAAGAACAGCATGAAATTGTAAACAGTTATTTTCGGAAATAGAAAAAAAAATCAGAAAGGATTTTTTTTTAGTATCGGAAAAAAAAGGAGCAAAGAGTGATTTCAGAGAAATACTGTGAGTGATTTAAGTGCCTCCCATATATCCTTCCCTTTAAGATATATTTAGAAAGGAAAAGAAAATTGAAAGCAAAGCAGAGTCGAGAGAGGGAGAGAATAATAGATCTATT